CAGATCTTGCATTGCAAACGTTATCTGCTTGGAAGCTGCAGGATTGAGCTGCATTGTGCTGTGCAGCCAAGGAAAGATTGTGATTCGATATCTGTTATTATACAGCTTGTTGTACCGTATCACCCCGGATATAAGCGCCATGGCGCTTATAATAAAATCGATTTTTTTAAGGGTGGCGCTTGTAATTGAATAATGGCCATAAGCGCCGGCGCTTATATAATGGTAAAAATGAATTTGCATAATTTAGGCATCAAATCGAAGCCCGTATTAAGGCGAACAAGACTGTGTAACGTGCGCATGGCATCATGCATGGAAACACGCCGAAAACAGACGCGCTTCGGTTTCCAACCGCACAAAGCCCGTCCAGGAGCAGCTCACCTGCCAGCGCTGATGCGAAACTTGCCTAGCGGCCCAATCAGGCTTTCGTGTGCTGGGTGGCAGCAGAATCCTCACCCGAACCATCTAGAAGCGGCCATCATGCCCTGCCAGCGCAGCATCGTGCGTGGCACTAAGCCCTCCTCTCCGGGTTCAGACAGGGGACACCCGTCTCTCCTCGACGAGGACCCCGTGGCGCTAGCCAGAAGGGGTCCCTTTGAATCCTTCATTTGTTCATTGCTTCTTTCAGTTTTTCGTTCTTGGTTCTTGATCGCTCCCGCCATGCTGCGGGAGCTATGGCGGAATTCACTGGGGTTCACTTCTTGTTCAAGAATAAGCCTCCACGGAGGCCCGCGTTTAGAGTAGACGAAGACGGGTGGTACTCCCGCGTCCCACCATCTCCACCTAAGCCACCACAGCCTCCTGCGCCTCCTGCGCCTCCTGCGCCTCCTGCTCCTCCTTCGCCTCCTGCACCTCCTGAGCCTCCTGTTCCTCCGACTCCTCCGTGCTCGCATAGTGCTGCGCCTCCGCTACACGCTGGATCAACGCCCGTGCTGACGCTGCTGCTCCCATCGTCGTTTGACGAGTACCTCTCCGAACCCGAGTCTAAGAAGCCGCAAGATGAGTGGGTGGAAGTGGAGCACGTTCCTGGTTCACGGTGGGGACAGCCTGAAGACTGCCCGTGGGACGAATCGCAAGTCGGCGCCGACGATGATGTTGAAGCCGAAGCTGACGCTGACGAAGAGGAAGCGAGCGGCACTGTCCGCGGCGAGTATGGCACGGAAGCGAGCGGCGGGGGCGGCGCCGAGGACGGCTCCGCTGAAGATGTTTTTCCCGAAGGCGTTCCCGGTGACGATGCCGATGACGGCGTGGAGTACTGGTCACGCGACGGGCTTCCCGAGACCCTGCCGATACCTTCCTATCCCCCGATGAATCGCAAGCGACCCCACCCCTCTTCCCAGAACCGTGATGCCCGCCCCCCCTCTCCCAGGCACAAGCTCACTGAGCACAAGAGGCAAAGTTACACCAGCGCGGAGAAGTTGAAGTGGGTTGCCAGGCTTGCTGTGGCAACGTCGGTGCGCGCTTTGGCTCGCGAGAGCGGAATCCACCCCAAGTGCCTTACGAACTGGAAGCGGGCGGCGGAGTTCCTCAAAGACGTGCACTCCGCTCGGAAACGCATGCACGGCCGCGGTCGGGCGTCGTGGTATCGGCCTATGGAGTTGAAAGTGTACGAGAAGCTTCTCGAGTGGCGCCGCAAGGGAACCGCCGTATCAGTCGGCCGCCTGCAGGAGTGGTCGCGGGAATACATGAAGCTGCTGTACCCGGACAAGCCCTGGAAAGGGAGCCAGAGGTGGTCGGAGCGCTTTCGGCGACGATGGAACCTGAGTGTCCGCATGAAGACCCGGGTTGCCCAGAAAACCCAGTCGCGTAAGAGTTACCCCATGTACTTTGCCGTGGTAATGTTTACTTGTTTTACCGGTACTAACACCCGCCATCTGTGACCGTCCTGCCTTCCACCTCCCTTCAGATGTCGCGGAGCAGTGCAGAAGCTTCTGGAAGTTCGTGCGTGGCATGCGTCGTAAGCGCGGCATCGACACCGCGTGGATCATCAACGCGGACCAGACGCCGCTCTGGCTGGAGATGCCCGCCACCACCACCGTGGATGAATCGGGTGTTCGCTCGGTGCCTATTAGGAGCGCGGGGTATCAGAAGCAGCGTGTGACGGTGATGTTGGCGTGTACGGCGGACGGACGGAAGCTGAAGCCGTGGGTGTACTTCAAGCGCAAGACCGTGCCAAAGGGCAATTTCCCACCCGGTACGTCAATTGGTGAACTGCTCGTTAACTGCGGTTTGTTCAGACTCCGAATTCTAACTACTTCTCTTGTTTCCTGCAGATGTGGTCGTGGCTGCACACGAGAACGGGTGGATGGACTCCGCGGGTGTCGTCCGCTGGCTTGAGGAGGGCGTCAAGCCCTTCTTGAAGCCCAGGTTCGGTAGATGCGCCAAGAGCTCGATGCTGGTGCTCGACTCTTACCGCGGTCACCTCACCCAGGAAGTGAAGGACAAGCTTCGCGAGATGAACTGCGTGCCGGCAATCATACCGTCGGGCTGTACGGCGGAGGTTCAGCCCCTGGATGTCTCCATCAACAAGAGCTTCAAAGCGTCGGTCCGCCAGCAGTACCAACGGTGGTTTGAGGCAGAAGGGCAAGAGCAGCTGACGACAGCAGGTATGGAATGAGCGCGTTGTTGTGTTTCAACCCCCCTTCCTTTTGCTTACCGTATGTATTGTTGGATTAACGGGATTCCATCGTTCTCCCGTTATTTTCAGGGAACTTGAAGAAGCCTCCTCCGGAGGTCGTCCTGAGGTGGATATCTCAGGCCTGGAAGTCAGTGCCTGCCGAGCTGATAAAGCGTGCCTTCCTCATCTGTGGCATCAGCAACGCGCTCGACGGCAGTGAGGACGGCCTCGCCATGGCGCACAGGCGGAGCCAGCTGACGGCGGAAGTGGACGTCGACGATGACATCATCGCTGATGGGTTTTTTGGCAACAACTGCCAGGAGCCCGAATCTGACGAAGACTAGACTAGTTAGCTAGAATTAGTGTTGCTAGACCTGCCGTTTCAGGTCTCTGATGTTGTAGCTGCTTTAATGATATTGTTATAAATGTGATTTCAATGTAAAACCAGCAAAGTAGTCGAATGGTGGCGCTTATAATAAGTACACAAATCTCAGGGGGGGCGCTTCTAATCGAGGTCCGGCCATAAGCGCCATGCTCCAGATAGAGGCGCCAGCGCCTATAATCGGACGGCGCCTATATCCGGGGCGATACGGTATTCTGTTTGCTAATTCTTCATTCACTAACTATGGTACCAGAATCTCAGCCACACTTTTGTAATGGGTACACTACACACACTTGCAGCCCTATTATGCCAAAGTGGAAACACCTCTTGAGTCTGGAATTTCCCTCTCCGAGCATTGACCAGCAATGGCTAATTGCCGTAGAATCGCCTTCAAACAATCATAAGCCGTATATAAAGCATCAAGAAAATTGCTTGTATGCATCTCGCGCACCCTGATGCCCCAAAATCCCCTCCTCTTTCCTGTTCTCCCCGTCCCCCTCTGTCCACTATCCCCATCCCCAACCCCTCCCCGATCCCCCCCACTCTGTCCACATCCTCCGTGGCTGCCCTTTCCGCTCCTCACGACCCAGCTCTGAACCTAGCGCAACCTATTCTCAAACAAAAGGAGCATCTCGAAACCGGAAATCCTAAGTGCACTGACTGTCCACAGCTGGTGGTTCTGGGCCGCTGGATTCCTCCGGATCCACCATCTCGAAAACTGAACCGTCGATCTCATCACAGGGAGCAGTCGAGCCTCTCTGAAGCTGCCGCAGCTGGTGCTGCCTCGGAGCCATTTTCTTCCCTCCAAATAGCTCCACCTGCTCTTCATTCTCCCCCCCCTCCTCCTCCCCACACCTCCGTTCTTTGTAAGATGAGTAGGACGGGGCTCCAGACAAACCGCTGAATTGCCTCAGCGCCACACGCCCACTGAGTTGCCGCAGCTCTGGCAGCGGTTTCAGTTTCGGTGCTGCTGCCACCGTGACCCCCCTTCGCCCCAAACCTGGGCCAACGCGGGCAGGGGACCCAGTCTGTGAAATTTTTTCCTTTTCGGGGTTGTTTTCCTGAGAGGGTGCATCTACACCGCTGAGAGACGCAGCTGCTTGCAGCAGGGACGGCTGTAGCGCGAACGCTTGTAGCGGGGACGGTTGTAGCGGGGATGAGCCAACCCGCCCGACTACCCGCCCGCCCCCTCGCCTCCGATTCGCCCCGCCTATCCCCCCTCCCGCGCTCTCGCTGCTGACGTGGGCGGACGAAGCGGACACGGCGCGCGAGAACATGCTCCGCGCGGCTCTTTGTCGCGGGGTCATCGCCCCGCCCCCGCCAAACCCAGAGCTCGGAATCCTACCCATAGGAGAAGGCGGCGCGTTCCCCCCGCCGCTCCCCCCAGTTCCTGGACTTTCATCAGCGGGCGCGCTGTGGGAATGGGGGAATGCGCGGACTGGCACCGCAGTGGTATCATTACACGCAGCACCACCATCAGCACCACCATCAGCACCACCATCAGTAGCATTAGCAGCAGACGCAGCAGCAGAAGCAGGAGAAGCAGAGGTAGCAGAAGCAGCAGCAGCATCAGTAGCATTGGTACAACCGGCACCACCACCAGCAGCGGAGACGGTTTCCGAAGCTTCTGACAGGCTCAGTCTCGACTCGGAATCAGGCCTATGATTTCTCTCCGGGTTACCAGACGAGGTGTTCGTGAAGGACCTTCGCCGAGCCCTGTTCGACCTGGGAGTGGCGAGGCACGGGTAACTTTCGCCACTGCTGCTGCGCGAAGAGATCACAGGCGGCAGCCATGGTAGACGCGCCGCGTCGGCTCCAGAAACGTCGTCCTTGTCTGTTACATTGTCACCGCTACTAAAACTCAATTTCAAGCGATTGCCGCTGCTCGTGCTACCGCTAGCAGACGAAGGATCTGACGTCATTGCTACTGCGACGACGCCGCGGCTGTTACCGCTGTCGCACAGGTCGCCTTTTATCGTTCCCCAGCCAAAGCCTTCCGCCATAATGCCGTGCGCGCCAGCCGCGAGCGCCCAGCTTGATCGTCTGGAGGCGGACGCTGCAGCGCCGGAAGCGGCATTTCGCGGAGAAGGAGCGCCGAATGCCGGGGGAACTGGCGGAGCGGCGAGCTCAGAGCAGATTTGCTCCTCGCTGAGCCACGCGGGACGCGATACGGAAGAGGCTCGACGGTGCTTCGACGCGCTGCGGCGCGCTGGAGGATGAACAGGCTTTGCGAAGGAATCTCCTGCAATGATACGGCATTCGCCACTATTTTCGCTGTCGTTGCCTCGCGTTTCCTGCGAAATGGAAAATGCTGCGTCGCCGGTCTTCGCATGCTCTTCGTGAGGCTGAGTTGAATGACACGCATCGGCAGCGTTCGTGGCCGGAACCGGATTGCCGTCGCCTGGAATTTGTAGCCGAGCGACATTGGGCCGTTTCATGGAAAGGGAACCTAACGACGACATAAGGACGGCAGGTGGTGAAAGATGATACTTGAAAGCTCAATGTGCGTGAAACAAAAGAGGAGCAGAGGTTGCTGAGGGAAAGCTCAGAAATCAACTATTGCTCGGTCAAACATTGGTCATCAGAGTAAGTGACGTCACGAGAGTCCTGGACTAGACGCTGCTTCACAGAGCAAAACTTATGACCTAGAAATCGCGGAAAATGGAAGATCTGTGAACGTGGAGTTCTGGAAATGGAAAGCTTTCTACGGAATGGAAGAAGAGCTGCTTGACGAAGGAGCTACATCTAGGTAAATACCCCGAAGACAACCACCGGCCTGGAAATGTTGATCAGGATACGAAGGAAAAAGCCCCAGAAATATGTTGAGGGATGTTTCCCGCAACTGGGATGAATCTGCCCGTCAAAGCTCGTCGAAAGTGTTTTCAATGCACAGTCCATCCGGGCCCTGGTGGGTTGGTTTTCACTAGGGCCCCCTCCTGGTGGAAACGGGTTCCCACCAGAGCCGCACGCGACATGAGATCCTGCAGCTCGAATGCAGGCTTGCAGCGCAGGCCGAAGAGAACGCACGGTTGAAGAAACGCCAGGAGTCGGGGGTTGGAGGGGTCACGGTCGTGGGCTTTGAGGAGTTTGCGTCCGCGCTTGCTAATGCGGTTCGGATGTTGGAGAAGGAGGCGAGGGCGATCGCGCAGGAAAGAGCGGCCTTTGTCGATACGCGTAACCAGGAGGCGTTGGTGCTGGGGCGAGTGGACGCGAGGCTGGGACAGCTGCAGGGCGTGGTGACAGACTCCAGGGAAGCCGCTCAGAAGAAGCTGACGGACGAGGTTGCGCGGAAGATCGACAACATGTCAACCGCGGTCTCCGCGATAGCAGAGTGGGCAATCACCACCAGCGGGGTCACGAACGCGCTGCACACCCTCATCGTGCTCGTTGGAGGAGCCCCCCCCGCCGCGCACGGATAATGAAGGAACGGCCGCGACGGAGATTGCCAAGACCGGGGATGCAGAGCATGGAAAGCGGGCAACGGGTGCGAAGGCGGAGAATCAACGGGGGGCGAAGAGGCAGAGAGGTCCCCAGGCAGCGGCCGAGGTGCGCAATCCGAGCGTGCAGGACATGCTGAAGCAGAAGTGGGGCGCTGCATCGCGAGGTGCAGCACCGCCTGGTCAACCGGGTTCGAGCTCGCGCTCCATCCCACCTGGAGAAGCTGCACCCAAACCACCGGGCCCTGCCAGGGCAACCGCGACAGTGACAAGTACTGTGGCAAGGGTAAGGCGGAGGATGGAGAGGCGCCGGCTGCTGCGGGTTCGCTAGCCTCGAGGCGAGAGGTCCAGTCCGCAGCGGTTGCTGCGGCAGAGGGCAAGCAGACCACGCTCGCACCCGCTCGTGCTGCAATCACCGCGGGAAATCTGCACAGCGCACTGGCATCTGCAAGTCCTATCGCGGCCTCGGTCGAGGTCAAGGCGGAGAAACGCGGATGGGGTGGCAAGAAGTTGCCCCCTCCACCCGTGTACACGATCGACGAGGACGATGCGGATGAGGAGCTGGAGGGTCTCGTGAGCAGGTGGGTCGAGGCGGGCGACGGAGGAGAGCAGGGTGGGGAGGCCGCGGTCGATGTTTATAGCGGCGGGGAGAGCGCGGACGAGCAAGACGGAGACCCCGTGATCGTGGAAGGTGGCACAACGGGAGGACATGGTGACACCGGCCCCAAGCGCAAGGGCTGCGGCATCCGCGCTCCACCCAGGGGCGGGCCCGGATTGGTTTGTGAACCCCATTTGGGGGGGAAGAAGCGATGGCTCGGACACGGCGACCGCGAAGACCTGCAGTACAAGACCGCGATCGCGATGTATCCCTACGACGGGAAGGTCGACCCCGGGCTGAACCTGAGCCAGCAGCAGATCCGAGAATGGGCCGCGGACCTGTCCATCGCCGAGGGGTTACATACGGGCCTCTTAATTATCATGCACTACCGCAACCTCGTGGCAAGCAAGGACAGGTGAGCTGTGCCAATCCACCATCATCTAGTGCGTTCATACGGTTTGGTATGTTATCATGTTCTGGCCGCTCTAACCCACTGCGTGGCAGGTGGCAACGCATGTTCGATTCCTATCGCGGGCTAACCAAACCCGGAATGCACACCACCAACGTGATTGCATGGGCCGCGGTGGTAGGCAATGAGGTTGCAGCAGAAGAAGCGGATCTCGGCGACGTGGAGCCGATGGACTACGCGGGAGCAATCGCATGCGCCATTGCAATGGTGTGAGAGGTCACTCGCGGTTCTAGCGTCACTGCCGCAGCGGATAATGGAAACCTGGCCGCGCGTGCTGCTGGTTGCTATGGAGAGCGAAGCCGTCTCTTCCCCGTAGTATCCGCGTACGTCATCAATGCGGTGCGGAAGCGCAATCGCCGCGAGGAAGATGAGCCAAAGGTTGTCGCGGACCCGAAGGCGGTCGCCGCTGCGATCGTGTCCGGAGTCGTGAACGAGGTCGCTGCAAAGTCTCGCGATCTCAGGCACATTGAGTTGGCCGCCAGCGAAACGGTGGACGTTATCATCACCTGGTGCGACTGCTCGGTGGCAAGGAAGCAGATGGAGTCCTTGGGTTTGTACCTTGCCCTGCCCAAGGATTGTCTGAAGAAGCGGACTTGAGTGCGTGTAGTATCGCGTAGCATGTGCACAGCTTGTCCGCCATGCTTGAGTTCTACTCGCGGTGGATTGTGCTGGTGTATGTAGTATATTGTGTGTGTGTGTGTGTGTGTGTGTGTATGTGTGTGTGTGTGTGTGTGTCTGTGCACGCGTGAGAACCTAGTGTTGACATTTGGAACAATATGTGAAGGTTTGTAGAATTCAGTGGGTGCGTGTGTTTGCGCGTGTGCCATTCTAGTAGTAATGTGCATTCGTCTCAGGTATTCCCACACATTATCATTGTACACACTTCGACGCGAACAATCTATGTACATCAGCAGCCCGCGATCACCACGGCCGCGATGTAAATCAGCACTATCTTCGCGCAAAACGACAGCAGCCCGCGATCACCACGGCCGCGATGTAAATCAACACTATCTTCGCGCAAAACAACAACACTCGCGGTCGATTATAGGGACCCATAACATCGCACCCGAAGACGGTGATATCAAGCATTCGTCTCAGGTATTCCCACACATTATCATTGTACACACTACGACGCGAACAATCTATGTACATTAGGCAACAGCAGCCCGCGATCACCACGGCCGCGATGTAAATCAGCACTATCTTCGCGCAAAACGACAACAGCCCGCGAACACCACGGCCGCGATGTAAATCAGCACTATCTTCGCGCAAAACAACAACACTCGCGGTCGATTATAGGGACCCATAACATCGCACCCGAAGACGGTGATATCAAGACGAACAACAGCGGGGTCAATCCATTTAATGCAAGTCTGGCTGCGCACAGTACTGGGGCCACGCGACCGTGAACTCAGAAGCGGGAAGAGAGGTATTGATGAGACGGTCGCGAACAAGCATCCATTTCACACGCAACTGCACCTCCATTGGAGAACCCTTCTTGAGCTGGCTCAGTTTCAGGTCAACACTCTTCTTCTTTACTGCGATCCCTTCCGATACACCCGACATGCCCACAGCTCCTGACATGAGGTCGAGCTTGTCGAGCACTACCGCGATGTCGTCTCCTTGCTCCACCCTGTGGGCGATGAAGTTCATGATTCGCTTGACACGGTTTATCCCGTTCTGGCCGCCTCCCTCCTCCCCAATGAGCGCGGCCATTCGCGTAACTGCGCCGCGGGGCTGGGCCAGAAGCGACTTTGGACTCTCGAGGATCAGCGGGTGCGTTGTCTTGTACAACTTCCATCCGTCTGACGGTTTGGTGGCGTTGACCCATGGAAGGATGATCGCGTCCCAAATCGTCTGTTCCCTGGTGGGCGCTGCAGGTTTCTTCCGCGTCCCCTGCTCGGTGGGAGTTGTGGCATTGGTCGGCGTGACCGCGGCTCTAGGAGTGGTCGTCTGGTTAAGAACCGCGGTCGGCCTTGAGCTGCTCACGGTGAGCCGCGACAGCTGGGCCTCCAAATCATTCACGCGCTCGTCCTTCTCGGCCAGCTTCCGATCGCGATCCTCCAGCAGCCCCTCTAGCTCTTTCACCCGTTTATGAGTCACGACCAACTCTAGGCCCAGTCTGGTGTTGTCCATTTGTGAACGAGTCAAGTACTCAGTGAGGACGGTCACTTGGTTTTGCGCGTCCATTCTGGTACTCACCTCCTACATGGTCAGAAAGCGACCGCGAACTTGTTATGGTTTGGCATTGACATCACAGAAGAAAGATAACGCAACCATTCAGTACTTACTGCGGGCTGGGTCAGTGTAGGTGTGTTGCGATGTACTATGGCGAGTTGATTTGCCAATGAGACATCTGCAGCCCACGACGCAAATTCCTTCGTCTGGCAGAGCGGGTTGTTGACCACGTACGGGTGTCGCGGCTGGTGGATGTAATACATCGCCAGGTCTTGCACGACCGCCATCCTAGCGTGCCCATCCAGCTCCTTCAATATGTTTAGCCCCGCGGTGTCCTGCTTCTCCGGCTTCTGCGTTTTCACCATCCTGCGGTTGTAATCCTTGCACTGTGACAATAAAACAACGAGGTAGTGAACGCGGTGCTAGAGTGTTATGTGGGATGCTCGCGGTCGCGTATGCGCGGACCACACATACCTGTTGCTGTCCTTTGTCCGCGGTGGCCCATGGGAAAATGTGCCTCCTCAGTAGCTCATCCAGCTTATCGCTGACCGGAACAGTTGCGTGACCCAGGAAGTAGTCACCGTCAACCCCGGTGAAGCCCGCCTTCAGCAGCACAGCCTCCCTCGAAATGGTTGTGAGGTAGTGCTTAGTCATCACGTCGATGAAACGCCAACCCCCCAGCCTCGCCAGCTGATCCAAAGGCATTCCGTCCGCGGACGCGTGCTGCGCCCCCCCAGCCCTGGTCGCGTGTACCGCACGCGAGCATGTGATTCCCGCGTCCTGGAGAATTTTCGCCGCCTAGTCGTGATGAGTCGTGGGCGGTATTTGCTTCTCGTTGCCCGTGCGAAGGGGGAAGAACAGGTATTGATCGTACCACGTGGAGGGTTCCGTGAAGTCGAGAGGGGGGGCTATGTCCTCGTAGAGGATGGGAGCCAAGTCGTACACCCAGTGCAGCCACAGCAGCGTGGCTCCGACCGCGCACAGCGTCCAATCTATGTGCCTCACAGCAGATATGTAGTTGAGCGAGAAGTCCTTGTTTGTCTTGCCCGTCCTGCACGCGCAAACAAACATGAATGCGTTCCTCAATGGATCAGTGTCCGATTTTGCGCCTAGCTTCCACGTCATCATGTCTGGCAGCTGCAGGTTTCTGATCGCCAGAGTGTGATGACCGAGCACGGTCATCGTCCGGATGCAGAGGTCGCGATGCATTGCCTGCGTGTATGCTTTCTTGGCTAGTGTGAAGCTGGTCAATTTCGCGTCCATGCTGGTCTTCCGCATCATATGCTTGAACTCGTCCGGGGTGTACGTGTCTGCGGCCGTGCCCCGATGGCGATCCATGTGTTCCTGTTGGATGCACATCATTCTGAGTGCATGTCATCCTAACGTCCTGCCGAGTGCTCGTGCTATTTGTGCTTGCATGATTTGCATGAGCGTATGTCATTGTGCATGGCTGTTGGATATTATCATCTCTGTGTTTTTTCTCCAAGTTTAAATGCTTGATCATGCAGGAGAAATTCAGAGCTTTCCAACGATACCAAGATCGCCTTATTCCGACCAAGATCGCCCAAGTTACAAGATTTCCAAGATTTGGATTTCTTACTACCTTTTGGGGTTATATCTAATTTGGGTGATTACTTGGGACATGACTATAAAGGGATCTTTGGTTGGGTGGTTAGGAAGCCAACTTTGACTTTTGGATTGGGATGGCTAGAAGTTTCTAGCATGGGTTGCAAATGTTGCAACACCTAGGCAAAATCCAACTAGATTGGATTTTGCATGTGACACCTCAAGGACCTCATGATGAGGGTTGCAGCCTTGCTGCTAGGAAGGTTCTAACCATTCTTCCCTAGCTCTTGGAGAACCCCTTCCCTCTCATGGTTCTCTTGGAGGTTCCCAACTCCAACTTCCCATGCCCTAATGTTTGTACTTCCTCCACCATTCCAGTCATGCGGCTGCTGGACGTTTTTACTTTGTTCTCACTCTATAGACCATCTTAACGACTGATTCAACTTGGAGATGGTAGCTAAGCCTAAGGCGCAACTTCCTACCGAGCGGATTTGCGTTTAGTTGAGTAATGAGTTCGTCGTAAGCTCTCAAAGTGACGGATCCTGAACAACAGTTCCCTACGCATCGATTGGGACGATAGTGCGGGTGTTAGTGGACGTGGTATTGTTGGGCATTAAACGTGTTCACTGAGAACGTATACTTACGCGATAAACCGCTTGTACTGGTCGCGTACTTGAACGCGGACCCAAATGCGACACTCCGCAAAGTCGCGCAGCAGGTTCAGAACGGGCTTCCTGAAGATGGCCCCGTCCAGCTTGATGAGCAGGTTCAAAGCCTTGAGACGCCCCATCAGCATTGCCGGGGTGCACTGGCGTCTCTTCTTCAAGGTCTTCTCTGGCCGCTTGAGTGTGGCCATCCTGTCCGCCTGCGCGACTGTCTCGTTTGCGAGGAAGGTCACGTATTTGCGTAAGCGCCACGGATTCGTCTTAGGGCCGTGGAACCACTGCTCGTCGCCCTCCGCCATCTTCCAGTCACCACCCATGTTCTGTTCGAGCGCGGCCCCTATCTCGTCGGGGTTCGCGTTTCTCAACGCGGCCTCATCACCAAACCTACCCGCGTCCAGTTTAGGCAGCTCGTGAGCCATGAACCGCTTGTACTCGTTGGCCCAACCGAGATACTTCTTCAGCGTGGCCTCAGAGACACCGTAGAGGATTCCGTAGCACATCTCTTGTTTCGCGGCCGGCGTGTCGTCCACACCTAGCCTGTTCCAATCCGCGATAGGTACCTCTATGTCCCTCCGCGTACCCCGCACCCGTTCGTTGTCTTCCGCCTCCTCCTCATTGAGCGCGGACAGCGAGTTCGATAGGTAGTTTTCGTCATCGTCATTCCAACTATCGTCCGCATCGTCAGCGTCGTTCTCGTCATCCTCATCGCTTGCCCCCTCGCTCCCCTCCCGGGAGCCGTTGCGTGCCGTGTGCGGCACTACATCGACTCTCCGCCTCCTTATACGCGGTCTATTAACTGGCCAGTTACCGGACCCGCCGTTTGCGTTAGCACCGCTACCCCTGCCGCCGTTGCCTGTCACCCCATGCGCTCCCTGCCCGTTCGCACTATACTCGTTTGATCCCACACCTGTCCCACGTCCCGCGCTCGCTCTCCCACCCCTTTGTCTCGCACCTCTCCCTCTAGCCGCGTTCCCTCTCTCCCCTGTCCCTCCTCCCGCGTTACCTATCGCACCCGTCCCTCTTCCCCTTATCGTGTTTCCGCTTGCACCCGCTCCACGCCCCGCGTTCGCCTGTGGTTGCCCACCTACACCACTCGCGTACGCTACAGCCGGATGCACGGGGGTGCGAATGTGGACGTCGGGGTTTCCGGGCAACAGTGAGTTCACGTTCCATATTGGCGGCGAATGTGCACGCACGCTTGCATTCATCCCCGCTCCACCATTCACCGCACACCCTAAACCATCGGCAACCGCTCTCGATGATGGGCCGTCTGTTCGCGCCCGTGTGTCCAAACCGACAACTAATGCTTCTCTAGGGTCTGGCGGGGCTTGCACCGCTGGCTGGCTTTCCGGATGAATCGCGCTGGGGAATGGTGTTGACAACGCGACAGGAGGCGTCGCGATAGATGCGGGTGCGTGCACCATGGGGTCTGGTTGAACGCCGATGTACACGTACCTGAATCCCACGTTCGAGTACTGCGACCCTACGAAGCCACACACAAGCATCCCAAAGAGCTGGCTACTGGGCACGGACGGGGACGCGACCGCATTGTGTGGTTGATTTTGTAACGCGACCGCCGCTGCCGCAAACGGTATTTGTGGCCGCGGTGCTAGGTGAAGCCCGTTGACCAGTTGCTGTGGGTGAAACGTGGGCGTCCGGGACCCAAAAACCAATGGCTGCACGTATGGGGTGCTCCATGTGGGGTTGAGCGCGTTCACCCCATGCACGGGAGCGGTAGGTGGTTCGGCATTATGGATTTGATGCGCGGTTGTGTTGCCCGAAGCATTGATGGAGTCATGAAGAATTGGCGCCGCGACTCGATTCACGGTATGCATGCGGCGTGCGAGATTGCACCTACTCATATTCACCGCGTGCGTCAACATGATGCGCGGTCACTACTTGTACACCCGGGTGTGACTTAGACGCGTCTACCTCGCAACTGATGTGCTCGCGGACATTCGGCACATAACGTAACCGCGATACTGGTGTCTGGTGTATCCCAGTGGGTCATGAGGGGGTAGAGCTTGGTGTGCAACTGGCGATCGGAAAGTGGAAACTGTGGGCGTGCTCGGAGTAATGACCGGACACTGCGTGGACGTGCTTGACACGTTACCGCGATCGCGCATCGACCAAACGGCAACAGCTGTGTGGCTCGTTAAAATTGCTGCACGTGTCAACCGGCATGGAGCCGACCAGATCGCGCCAGCTGTAACCGAACCGGATCTCGCTGTGCGCTTACCGAACCTATGCTTGTGCGAATTTTGTTCGCAATAAGTTGCGAGATAGCACAACCAATAGTAAGACTCCTTTGGTGTCGCGAACTCGCGGTTGCATGCGCGGGATGTCCCGCTCGTCAATGTTACCGACCAATCGCGTTCGTTTTCTACCGAGTCGCGCATGCATCGGCGCGTAAGAACGAGATGGGTTCTTTCGGTTTTCTGGGGGCCGCGGAGCTTTCGGTGGCAGCCAGGTGGGTTTCACTGAGCCACGCAGGGCCGCGCTAGGTCCAAACTTGGTGGGATTCTGGGTGGCCGACTTCGCCCCACGCTCCCCGCGATTTCTCTGCGCCCCGTGCATCCCAAGGCGTGGGCGGGGTTTTTCCCGAGCCGCGCCGTATGAACATCCCAATTCGCCCACAGGCAGGGCAGCCTATGCCAGCTCTACAATGTACCCACTCGCCTCGCCACTCGCAATTGCCGTCCGTCTACCCCAGCCAGGAATGCCAAGTCAAGAATGTACAGTTCTTTCGACTCAGGAAACGGCAGCGAAAATGATTGGTGGGGAAAATGTATGGAAGTTCGAAGGGAGGAAACCCTGAGTTGAGCGACAACTTGTCGTTCATTAAATAGGACTACGTGAAACAGGAAGAAATGGATCCCTGAATAAAAAAGGGGGAAACAGCAGCAAGTGCTCAGATAGAAAATGATGCCACACTGGTTAGGGCTTTGGTCTGGTCTAACCTCTGGTTACGACCCAAATAATGTTGGGCTGAAAAAGCCCTTAGGATCTTTGCAGAGGTAAATTCTGGGTAGAGTTGATGTAGTAGAGGAAGCGTCTATGTCAGATTACTATAGCTGATGCATGTTTGTAGGCTATAGTGGGGTAGCACATATGGGGTACAGCTTTCTAGGGTTGTATTTGTACCCAACCTTGACTTAGTCATTTCATTCCTGCTTACTTGTTTCACATGGTATAGAGCGGGTCCTTCCTAAGGACCGTTTTTTTTAGGGCCCACCCACGATTTTTTTTTCCTGCCCGGAGCGCGCCCTACTCTCCCCGAGGCGCGCTCCCCCCTCCCCCTATTGCTTTTCGCGCTGCTATTGTCGGCCCGCGAGTCGCGCGCACGATTTTTTTTAGCGCGCGCGGCCCGGGCCCACGTCGCGCTGGCTTTACGGCCGCCCCGCGCCGCCCTCTCGGCCCTGCTGCGCCCCGCCGTCCTCGTCGCGACCGCGGGCCCCGTCACCTGACGGCCCCGCCGTCCCCTTCTTTTTTTTTTACGGCCCCGCCGTCCACTACTCCCGGCCCCGCCGCTGCACCCTGACGGCCCCGCCGTCCCCGGTCCCGGCCCCGCCACTGCACCCTGACGGCCCGCCGCTGCACCTCTGTCGGCCCCGCCGCTGCACCTTGACGGCCCCGCCGTCCCTGTCCCGGCCCCGCCGCTGCACCCGGACGGCCCGCCGCTGCACCTCTGACGGCCCCGCCGCTGCTCCTTGACGGCCCCGCCGTCCCTGTCCCGGCCCCGCCGTCCCCTGTCCCGGCCCCGCCGCTGCACCTCTGACGGCCCCGCCGCTGCTCCTTGACGGCCCCGCCGTCCCTGTCCCGGCCCCGCCGTCCCCTGTCCCGGCCCCGCCGCTGCACCCTGACGGCCCCGCCATCCCCTGTCCCGGCCCCGCCGCTGCACTCTGATGGCCCCGCCGTCCCCTGTCCCGGCCCCGCCGCTGCACCTTTGACGGCCCGCCGTCCCCTGACCCGGCCCCGCCACTACACTGCAGCCGAGCCACCCGGGAGCAGCCGGACCACTCAGCAGCAGCCGAGCCGCCCAGCAGCAGCCGAGCCGCCCAGCAGCAGCCGAGCCGCCTAGGAGCACCCGAGCCGCCCTGCCGCCGAGCCGCCCGGGAGCCGAGCCGCCCTGCGCCCGAGCCGCCCAGCCGCCGAGCCGCCCGGGAGCCGAGCCGCTGTGCACCCGAGCCGCCCGGTAGCCGAGCCGCCTTTCTGCAGAACTGCACGACCTGCCCTGCCTGGTGAGCACAGTCCCACTGTCACTGCGAGCTCTTTCCCTACTGCTTGCGCTGCTTCGCTGTCGTCGCCATGGCTACCCCTAGTGTCCTAGCTTTTGACGCTGAGGGTCGCGCCATTGATTTTGAGGTCTGGTTAGACGACCTGCAGCTGTTCTTACAGTGGGACAGGGCTGATGGCCTTTCTCTCTTTGACCTCACCTCTGGCGCCTCTCCTGCTCCTGCTGCTGATGCTGATCCCACTGTGCGCTCTCAGTGGGCCACCCGCGATGCTGCTGCACGTCTTGCTGTGCGTCGCCACCTCCCTACCTCTGAGCGTGCGCACTTTAGTCAGTACAAGAGTGCTCAGACCTTGTACGACGCTGTAGTTGCGCGCTACTCCTCCCCTGCCACTGCTGCACTGAGCCGTCTCATGCTTCCCTACCTCTTTCCTGACCTCTCTGCCTTTCCCACTGTCGCTGACCTCATTACGCACCTCCGCACTAGTGACACTCGCTACCGCGCCGCCCTTCCTGCTGAGTTCTGCGCTAAGAACCCCCCCCCCATGTACATCGCTCTCTACTACGTAGTCGCGCGCCTCCCTGACTCCCTTCGCGTAGTCAGGGACCACTTTCTCGCAGTCTGTCCCACCACCCTCACCGTCGACCTCCTCGAGAAGGCCCTCCTCGCAGCAGAGAAGAGCATAGTCGCTGTAGGTGCTTCTCGTGGTGACCCTCGCACCCCCATCTTTGAGGGGTGCTCCCCTTCCCCCCTGCTGCCCTCTGTTGCCTCTGCTGCTGCTGCTGACCTGCTTGGTCTTGAGTCGGTCGGCGCGGCGTCTGCCCCTAGTGGGAGACGTCGCTCCAGCAAGGGCAAGGGGGGCAAGGGCGCGGGTGGAGCTGGAGGGGGCGGTGGCGGTGGCGGCGGGGGCGGCGGAGGGAGTGGGGGTGGCGGCGGGAGTAGTGGTGGTGGTGGTGGTGGTGGCAGCAGCGGCGGAGACGGTGGTGGTGGTGGCAGCGGTGGTGGCGGTGGCAGCGGCGGAGGTGGAGGCGGCGGAGGTGGAGGCGGTGGAGGCGGTGGAGGCGGCAGCGGAGGAGCCGGAGGTGGTGGAGGGAGCGGAGCTGGTCGGGGTGGTACCCAGCAGCGTAGCGGCAGTGGTGGTGGCCAGCGCTCGCAGCGGCAGCAGCAGCAGCGCTCGCGGGACATCCCTCCGCCCCAGCAGCTTCGTGAGTGGTACGCTGGGCGTCAGAGGGGTGGGGGTACTGGTCCCTGCACCTACGTTCTTCGTTCCGGCGACCGCGCGGGTGAGCAGTGTGGGGGTGCCCACGCCACTCAGCGCTGCTTTGGCCGCCTGACGGACGCTTGGCGTCAGCAGTTCCCCGGGGCTAGTGAGATCCCTCGTTGGGATGAGCTTCTTAGGGCTGGTGTAGCGATCTTTGATCTTGATCTTGATGCTATCCTTGCTGCTATGTATGCTGTGACTTATAGTGAGGAGAATGAGGGTTACCGGTGTTTCCAGCCCGACCCGGGCATTGGTACTGCTGCGCTAGGTGCTTGTGAGGCTGCTGCTCTAGGTGCCAGTGCGTCTGCGCTCTCAGGTACTGGTGAGACTGCGCTTTCAGGTACTGAGTCGCCCTCGTCCTCCCTCACTTTCACACTTGACTCCGGAGCTTCTCGCTCCTTCTTTCGAGACCGCACTACCCTTACGCCTCTTGGCCGGCCGGTTGCGGTCTCCCTTGCTGACCCTTCTGGGGGTCCTGTCCTGTCTCACTTCTCCACTGTCCTCCCGTGTCCGGCTGCCCCTTCGGGCACCCTGTCTGGTCTGTACCTTCCCTCGTTCTCTACGAACTTGGTGAGTGGTGCAGCCCTACAGGATGCGGGGGTTCACCAGTTCACTCCTGCGAGTCAGCGGGTGACCCACTGCACGGACGCACGCACAGGCCGGCACCTGGCCACCTTCTCGCGTCGGCCGGGGTCGAGTCTCTACACCCTGACCACTTCGTCTCCTCCTGTCCCTGCGTCCGGTCAGGTAGCTGCGTCCGGTCAGGTGCTTGCTGCTGCGTCCCGGTCAGGTCCTGAGTCTGCCCCCTGTTCTTGTCGCCTCCTGTCTCACGAGACTCTCCTGTGGCACCACCGTCTTGGCCACCCCTCCTTGCCCCGGCTTCGGAGCATGGCTTCCCGTGTCCTTGTCTCTGGTCTTCCCCGGTCTCTCCCTCCTCTCCCCTCCGGGCCAGGACCTTCCTGTGTCCCCTTTGTCGAGGGTCGCCTCCGGGCTACTCCTCACTCCTCCC